ATAAGCTTCGGCTATTCTTACTCGCTCATCTGATCAGGATCTGTGAGGAACAGTTACTGATAACTATAATTAGTGTATGTATATCTCCCGTGATTATCGAAAGATTAGAAAACCGAGGTGGATGCCAAAATTCCGCGAACGTCTATAAGTATACATCATAGCAAGACATATCTAACAAGAGTTATTCACAAAGCATTATCGCATTCTCTATTTACTTCTGTCGCCAATTCAGAGTTGCAGAACCATAAAACTTCAATCACCACTCCACCACACCTCTCCAAAGTAAGAATTATCTCCTTTCTTTTAGTCATGTTTTTGTCTGCTGCAGAAATCTCAAATTCCAAAGTCAAGTCTGCTCGTCGATTTTGCACAGAACATTTTGAGGATTTCGTTGACATTAATGTCATTCACTAACTCCTGTTCAACGAAAAAAAGAATGAGAGCAGAGAATCGTGGCTGGGTCATTGTAGAACGAAGTTTAGACTTGACAATGCTCATTTTAGAGAATGTTCGTTCAGCAGATGCAGAAGTAACAGGAATTGTGGCCAGTCCTGTGAAGACGCGTGAGAGGCAAGGGAAAATTTTATTTTTTAATATTTTGCTTGCCAATCAACAGGGGGGGGGCATGGCCCCCTTGTGCCCCTCCCCCCTTAGCTACGCCAGTGCATACACACACATTAACGGACGCGCACACGCGGGTATGGTCGCACGCACGCGTGCGCTTGTATTATAGGCGTAAATTCACATTTTGTGCCTCGCGGGGTGAAAAAGTTTCAGCTGAAATACGGCCATTTACCTGAAAAAGTTTTTCCATGTTTGACTGGTCATTGGCGATACCATCCGCGAGAGGGTAGTAAGGAATAAGTGATGGAAAAACTTTTGCAGGTAAATGGTAGTAATTTCAGCTAAAACTTTTTCACCCCGCGAGGCACAAAATGTGAATTTACGCCTATAATACAAGCGCATAAAGTTGTCATATATACCTTTAGATATGATTTTGGATGAATTTATATGAATATTAATTATATTGATGAATATTTGTATATGCCTATAATACGCGCGCGTGCGTGTCCCATACCTCGCTCTACGTCTGTCTTCTAGCTGATGTTCAGTAAAATATTTCACGTATAACCGAATAGTTAATATTCAGGCGCATGATTTGTTATGTTATTGGAAATGAAAACGATATACATGTATGCACACACGCACGAACGTACAACACACACACAAATACACCCGCACGCGTATCCTTGCATGGGATAAACCTGCTGGCTGTATCCCCGTGCGTGCGTGCGTACGTGTGATGTAGGTGGTGGTGGTGGTGGGGGGGGGGGCAATGTTCACGAAAATTTACCGCGAAATCGATCACGTGTCGAGTTAAATAATGAGTAGTAGTTTAACTCAGGGAATTTGGTTCTTAAACTTATGCATTTGCATATGAATTCTAAACCAGCAATACTGTAATAAGTTATAACGATTTCAACAGCACACTTCATAACTGGTTCGTCAACAGCAAGGACTTGTAACGAAGTATATGAAATAACTCGTTAGTGCAAATGCTTGTACACTAGTAGCAATGTAATATTAGTTGTACACTACTAGTAGCAGTGTTTAGTAATGATGTAATAGTAGTTGTACACTAGTACATGTAGTGTAATTTTGCTGGTGGAATCATTTAATTTTATCATGTTTTTATTTGGTTGTAGATTTTCCTCTTACCGACACCGATTATCAACAAAGAAACTGGTAGAAGATTTGGATTGCAGTGGTGATGGCCCGGGATTCGCGGTATCGGATTCCTCGTTGAACATTTCACCAACATTTCCACATCCACCGACAGTGCCACCGCGTGTGGGCTCTATTCTTGGCACCCCCCAAAAAACAGCAAAACCAGTGTTTACAGCAAAACCAAGGTTTATTAAATTACAGAATGTAATTCGCACAAATGAATAGTGTTGAAAACCGGCGCTGTAGCATACCGGAAAAGCCACTGACCGATAGGTAATACTGACTGTAATGTATATAAGCTGGGCATACAAGCGTCGTATGACACAGAGACAATGTGTAGTCGAGCTTAATTTAACACCCGTATTACCGGGGAAAATCTAGATTTATCCGTAAACGTAAAACGCGATGAAGAATGGTGTAATACTGTAATCGGTTGCCGTAGTGGTTACATATAGCGTAAACTTGCGAACATTTGCCACAAGATGGCGACACCGGTAGAAATATCTCCAATTCCATGCTCTACAACTTGTTACTTACTGGCAGGAAGCTCAATCAACCAGCAGTTTACACTTACAAGTTCGGGAGAAAAAACTCTTTACGAGAAAGGAAACTTTTAAATGACTAACGAATGGAGCTACACTTGTAGAAAAATATAACATTGCTACGCATAACAGTAAAATATACACGGGGAAATATCGAACTCGAATTATACAAAAATCATGTAGAAAGGCAAAAAATTGCAGGCGAGAAATTACTTCAAAAACTAATACAAAATGTTAAGCTTAAAACGCTTTTAAATGGCAGTATACAAAAAACATTTACCACATGTGTACGCTTGGCCTCTAAATACAGAATGTGACAGAAACCAAAAGGTTATCATGGAATACAAGAGATCTTAGCTTACAAAAAATATCGGAGAAATACAGCGTATACATTACAGCATCGGATATATATACGCGTTCCAATGCAAATACCACACAGTGCAGCAGACGATGGATAACCACACGAGTGTACGTACACACAGACACTTGTGAAACTGGATAGCAATACTAAACCACGTATCCTCACACACACCCTAGCTCTACGCCTCGTCACAAAATCGCATAACCGATGAAACGATCAGGTATTTCACCGCGTACGCGCCGAACACACTACTAAAGATACATCTAAGCTCCCCCCTGACAACTCACCCGAACTGTAGGCAAGTGTGCGAAGGTACAGACAGTCATCTCTAACCCCACCCCTAGAATCACACACACATACATACACACTCACACACTCGAAGACCCATGCACAAGTAAAGATGGGACAGGGCCTCTCCATGTTGAAAAGCAAATGTTTCGTGCAGTCAGTTTTACGCGGGGCTGCATTAGGCTCAAACTCCAAAACGATTTCCTAAATAACGACATTTCCATGAAAAGCAGCATGACCCTAAAAATTTTTTTTAGCAGTGTGCCACAGTGACACAGCAGCTGTAGCTGTAGCTTGGTGTAGGGAATGAATGCACAGTTGAGCTTCGGATTTGTACGGTGACAGCCAACGACCTTGGTGACCTACACAACGCCAATAGCATCCGACTGCAGAGTGAGAATGCTTCCCTATTGACCACCAACGAGGCACACAGAAGCTAAATGTACAGCAATATGGAATGTACAGTATATAGGAGTACAATATTAAAGGCCAAACGAGTTTTATTAACACCACAAGTGTTACCACCCCCCAGCTTTGCACATAGTTTGGGGTGCAACATTCACTCTTCCTTGTGACGATATCTATCAGTTAAGCTATGGCCCACGCCAATTGGGCCCGTTTATATGTCGAGACAATTGCGCATTCATCTTCTACTTGAATTCAAGGTGCTAGAAATTACTGCAGGCACGCAGACAACAGTAACACAATGCACCGGGACTTCGTGTCGGTATAGCACGCGTTTCATCATATAAGATCATGTGACATGAACGTTACAGGATACATGGATCATAGGTTGGATACACGTACGTGCGGCGTACGCACCACTGTAACATGATCATACCCATGTTCCATGTGTGGAGCTCTAAATCAGAGCGGTATTTGGTTGTATTTGATTGCCATTACGACGCGCAGTGTAGTTAAGTAGTGCTGAAGGGGTCGTTGTCGTATATATGTACCCGAGGTACATAAGTGTATACGATGTATACAGAAGTGTACCCTAACCCTAAGGCTGGTATACATATACGTAGCTCGGGTACATATATGTAGTACCCTATATGACAACGACCCTTCGTGCTTAAGTAGTGGTATGCAGGTTAGACAAGAAACCGTGCGCACATTTCCATTAATACACCATCCGCAAATACGTGCGCCTTTCGTTGCGCGATTGATCGAAGTTTGCAGTCCGAAATTCACCGTACCCAATCAGCTACGCGTCTCATCATCGTTGCAAACTCCACCGACGCAAACTCAAAAACGCCTGCAGGTGGTTCCGGAAGAACCTTTAAGAAGCATTAGCGGTTTTAATTGGGTAGAACTCGGGTAATTTCCACTGCCTGATGTCCAGTTGTCAATGTGGGCGGAGCCTAGGCGGTGATCTCAGTGCCGACGTTGTCACCGGCTTGCATCTTCGCGCGACGAACGTCCTCGCAGTGCCTCTCCTGAAATACCAACAGATGGCGATGCAATCACGTGCTATGGCAAACTGGGTTTGTACGACCAAGATTTCCAGGACAGAAAAGAAGTTCCATTTTCAATGAACGTGAAAATTGGACCCAATAGAATTGTATATACAATCTTAGTGCCTTGTATCATTATCATCATCATCATCCCAACAGCTTTTACTGAACAAACACTCTAGCACGAAGCAACCTTTATTGCCTCAGACAAAATAGTCAATTTTGAGAACGTTTTAGGAGAAAACAATAATGATCAGCCCTTGACAAAACTCCAGGACTTTGAAGGACCCTAGTTTATTTTTGGGACATTCAAAACGAGAAAATTGCCTTTTCCAATATTATTGTAAAGACCCATACGAACACTAAAATAAGGAACTTGTGAAAGCAACCTGTGGGTTGTAACGCACGCAGCGTGCACCAAGTGAATATCGTTTTACAGCTAGTAATTTCGCCTAATTGCTCCTCCATAGTGTCCTTATGCTTAAAATCCTAGGCCAAACTAATCCCATTTTGCTGCTACTAAAGGTGCCGATTTTGAACTAACTTCATCGGATATCATGATAACATTACGGGTCGACTTTATTTAACGACAGGCCCGCGTAATTAAGCCATTATCGACAGATGTAGCCGATGTAGCCAGCTGCACTCACGTGCTCCTTGATCTTATCCTGCAGACTCTTCATCTGGTTGTCGCGGTTAGCGAGAGCATCCTCCATCTTTTTCATCAGCTTTTCCATGATCTCGCGGCTCTGCTCGGCGACGATGACCTCACTCTGCTGCCTCGCCTCGATCACACGCTTCTCCTATCGTGATAGAGAAGCAGCAGCATGTTAGATGACAACCAGAGAATCGTGGGAATATCATCACACGTGAGTAATTACAGCAGCAGCGCGCATCAGCAATATTATCAGCATATTATTGTAAATTTCCTAAAATTTCAGTTTTATACTGCTTGATGATATCTTGTTTGCAAAATTTATTTTAATTGTAACGTTGTTAACACTAGTTTTGCAATAACCCTATTACCTATCTATCTATCTATCTATGCAGATATTAGGTGATAACAGGGCAATCACAGGAATATCATTACATGAGAAGTGATCACAGGGGACAGAGAGAGTGGGGGGAGAAAGGGAAAGAAAGAGAGGGAAAATGGGAGAGGGTAAGAGAGGTGCAGAAAGGGAGAATGGAAGAGGGGAAAAGGGTCAGAGAGAGAGAGAGAGAGAGAGAGAGAGAGAG